ACTGTCCACAGATTAGCCTGGCAGAAATAACAAGAAACACCTATGCTAACCAGCTTGCTAATACATAGAATGACATGGTGTTTTTCAGTGTTACAATTTCCACTTTACTCACGACCACAGTGACTTCAATCAGTCTAAATCCCTTCCTTGTGCTTCAAATCCATCCATGAATGTCCATTATTCCAGGTAGAGCTGGGTTTCTTTACGAATGTGGTGGGTTGAAGATCAAATGGCCTTGAATTGACTCGTCTATGTTCACTTGAAGAGGAACAAACTTCCACTGTGTTGGAGCTATTTAATTGGGGATAGAATTAGTTTTTGTATTTAGTTCACTAATATTTGGGTGGTGTTGTTTATTTAATTATTCTACACGTTTTCTTTATTTAGAAAAGATTTTGGGTAACGTTTTCTTTTTTGCTAGTTATTTGTTTAGTAAATTTAGTTTTGTATTTGTATTTTGTTATGTATTTGGGTAATACTGTGGGCACCGGAGATTATTTAAGTAAGAGGCAGGTGGAGGACCGGCATGCACCTGGGTGGGCCTATTGTTTTTTACCAGGTCAAGAGAGGCAGCGGGAGCCACAATTTTCTTTGTTCTTTTGTTTGTTTTCCTCAAATAAACCAGCAAAATACTGCAGCTCTTGCATGGACATTGGATTTCTTTTGCTTGCGTACATTACATCCCCATGGTGCATCAGTGGTCATTTGATTATTTTGATATCAATTTATTTAGATTTTCTTTGTTGTTGTTTTTTGGACAAATAGCCACTACACGCTGGACTCCTAAGTAAAACTGATAAAACAAATTCCTTTAATCCACAGTTTTGTTAAACAATCTTACTGGATGATTCAAAGTCAAGTTTTCATAATCAATGAACTATACTACGGTAAAGAAACCATGTGGCTCGGTCCTTAATTGATCCTCAACTGCTTGAAACCAGTCTAACCCTCCCACAGCACTAAAGAGCTCTCTCTCTCTCTTAACGTGATGGTAACCTACCTCACTGCTCTAACAGCAATACCATACTGCTTTTAACTTTACAGAAAATCCACATGAATTAAATCAAATTACCTTTAGCTGACTTTTAATACATTTTACAACTTACATACAATGAAATCCCTAAAATAAAGATTAACTTTCAACTCAAAATTGCACTGCTTATTTATTTACGTTAACATGTATGAATGTAACTTGGCTCCTACAAATACTTCACCCATTTGCATCAAGCTTTGTATCATTAGAAACCTGGTAGTATTTTTGAATGGTCGTGCATCCCGCCCTCATTTTCCCCTGAGATGGGAAAGCTCCATATTTCTTGTCTGAAAAAGAGCCTCCGATGACACAGAAATCGTCAGTCTGTGTCATCATACTTGATATGTGGCGGGCTAAAAACCTTTTAAAAAAAGTTAAAAGCATTGATATTAAGAATAATAATAAAAAGATGCCAACAATGCCACCTAGGGTTTAAAATGTTGAGCCTAGGTCTCATTAAAAGACACAGGTTCTTAAAATCAGGGGGAGCAGAGTTTAAAACCAGACAGGAAACTAAAATGCACAATGATCTAATTTATTACCATAAAAATGTTAATAAATAGAATCTAAAAAAAAGTGACAGGTGTTATAGAGAGTTGCAACAATAAAATACTACTTATCAAAGTCCGAGGTGGAATGTTCCTTCAATTGTCTCTGAACTTTCTCCGGCTACTCCGATGCTTTGCTTGACGCGGCCCGCCTTGCGTTGACCCCTTTAAAGAGACCTGAGGGGACAGAACAACCTTGGCGAAGAAGTGTGTTCTACGTAATCAGGTAGAAAATAATGTCACTCACGTCGCCTGTTTCCTTTTCCGCGTTGTTGTGAACCCATTGCATCTCGTCCTTCTCTCAGTTTGCACCATCTCTCGCTATGCACCCAACGTCCTGTTTCGTGCTCCTCCTGCGGGCGAGTGGAAGCTCCTCTTGTATTGCTCATTGTCCGCAGCCTCTGCCGCACCTGCTGATTACCTAATTAAAGGGGGAGGTGTGACTCACCAGGTCCCAGTTCAATGCCTTCTGTACACAGTCAACTGATTAAAACAACATCTAAAACATAATAAAATCAGTTAATAAAACAAATTACACAAAGGCATAAAACCCACAGCAATCCATAAAACTATTACTAAAACATACACGCAAATAAAAATCTAAGTAAAAACACACACAAAGAACCCTCATTTCTGACCCTGTCACAGATACATTCTTTCACTCAATTGCTTTAAATTTTAGAAACGAGTCAAATTGAAGGATCCAAAGCTCTGTACGTGTTGTGTTACACTGGACTTAAAGTTTCCTGTTCTTTCATTTTGATTGTTCTTCTGTTATTTTCTATCTGTGTTGTTCAGCTCTGGATCAACTGTGTTGTGTGTAAAGTGCTTTCTAAATAAAGTTGAGTTGAGTTATTTTTGTGATATTAAATACTGCAAACAAACATGCATTACTCATGATTATATCAGATATAATGTGAGACTAAAGAAACGCTTCAGACTCCCAAGAGGCTTTTCTTTAAGCCATCGATAATCCAGAGGATAAAGGTTTAGGATAATAATCATCCAAAGAGCGGGATCATAAACACGCTCTCCAGAGGTTTTACAAGGTTACCTCGTCTCAACCTGTCTTTTTATCACTCTGCAGCGATGCCAGCTGATTGGATTAGATATTCAAGGTCCACAAAGACAAGGAAGTATGCAGAAGTGTTTAGGAGGGTAGATTGTACCAGACTCTAAACACGTTTATTACTGCTGTAAAGTTTGACACTACAGCCCTCTTTCCACCAAGCGGTCCACTTTGGCAGTAAACCCAAGCTGCAACCTCCTGTGTTGAAGCATGAAGTTGTTGCAAAAGTGTATGATCCTGCAGTTCTCCGAGTGTCCACTAGAGGCTGGCTGCAAAAGCACAGGAAGTCACATACACACCCATTCTAAAAAGCCTGTTTTTACAGCAGAGATTAACATGTTTACAGCCTGGTTCAAAAAAACCAAATAGGTCTGATTAGCTCATGTCTCGATCGACACACACTGTACGGGGGGTGAATGTTTTGATGACTCATCAGTTTTGATTTGATGAAGGATAAGAGTTCTTCACAATAAGGCGTGTAGCTGACTTGATTGACAGGCAGGCACTGTGTAATGGTTTGTCAGGAGTCTTAAAACCCGCCTCAGCTCCAGCTCTCAGCCTGTTGTTAGGTTGACTGAAAGTTAGGCTAAGACAGCATTTCCAGAATGGAGACCACCATCGATGGGACTCCAGCGCCTCCTGCAGGAACAGATGGGTGACCTCACTCAGGCTTTATCCATTACAGTCTATGGGTAAACCCTGATCTAGCTTGAGTTTTCACAGCTAACCATAAGCTGGATGGCAATAGCTGCTTCAGATACGAGATAGCGTGAGAAATCATAGCCTCGCAAGTCAGTGTAGCCCGCCAATTAAATCAAGGAAGAATAAGAACGTGACACAGTAAACAAAGGGCAACAATGGAAGACGTCCAGCAGAGGTCAGCACCTCTGAGGTCATGTATGGGGCGGGGCTACACACTGACAGTCACACATAAAAATCGAAAAACAGCCTTGAGATGACTCCCTCAAAATATTTAAACATGGCTTGTTTTGTGGTTGTCCTTTACTAATACTGTCACACAGGAAGTGATGATTCTTTCGACCAATCAAAGGACTGCAGTGTGTGTAGCTCCACCCTTTAGGGTGAGATCGATACACTTGGCACATCAACAGAAGAGTAAACAAAAAGGAGGATGGTACGGATCTGTTATTCTGCCATTCCCAACTTTTAAAAGTGGAAACCCCAATTATTGCCTAGTCCTCTAGTGGACACTCAAGGAGCTGCAGTGTGTTTTATTTGACTGATTTGGTGTTTTTTGCAGCCGTTTAATGTGCTGTGTGTTAAACATCTGACATGTCTCTGAACTCTGACCTCCTTCACCAGGAAGTTGAATCTGTGGCGATCAGTAAAACATGGCACATGCACAGCAGCTGTGTCAGAGAGGAGCATGATGGGGAAATGTTTCTGTGGGCCATCTGGCCGCTGAACCGTGGATCCATTAACTGAGGGAACCTGCGTCAGGTAAGTAATTCACTTATTGTCGCTTCCTGAGTCAATGCTGTTAATGTACGACTCTGCTTCTGTTATCAGCGGGGTGATCCACATTCTGAAGGAGGACAAGATATTTTTAGCTCTAAGTGATTGTTTAACTTCACTCCTTAAACTATTTAAATATCACACTCTAATTTTTCATCCTCTTAACGGCTGATAGATGTTTTTACCCATTACATGAGGCGGTTGGCTGAACTTGATTAAGTTTAACTAAAGATCAACTATGACTTGTAACGATTTATTTAGGACGCACTCCCAATCAGTACTGTGCCTCAAAACGCTTCACCCCTAAGGTCCAGTTTGTCGGATTAGTGAGTAACCGGGACAACTGGGGATGGGGGGGGGGGCAATCATGCTTCAGTACAGTTCGGGACAACTGGGCCTAGTGTAGAGAACTAGATTGTGTAAAAGTGAATCCCATACTGTTGTTCATGCAGAAATATTTCATTTTTATTTCTATTTAATATTTTGCAGATTAATTTAAAGATCTGAATGTCAAGCTTTTCTCCCTATTTCTGATTAAAATATCTATACATTTGGGACACTAATAGTCTAGCGGTTATGTTGCATGCCCCATGTTCAGAGGCTATAGTCCTCATCATAGCGGCCGTGGGTTTGAATCCGACCTCTGGCCTTTTTGATGCATGTCGTTCCCTCGCTCTCTCCTCCCAACATTTCCTGTCTCTCTTTAGCTGTCCCGTCTAATAAAGGCAAAAAAAATCTATACCTTCATCAAACAATACAAACATAACACATAAAGCTGCTGCAGTAAAAGAAAAAACAAAGTCAGAACTGAAGTCGAGAAAAAGGCAAAAGGGGAGGGGGGCCTCTAGATCTCCCCCTGGTCCTTGTGTCCCTGTTCCCGGCCCTGCCCCCTGTCACTCAGTTCTCCTCTGGTCTCTGCTGTAGTTTCCCCCTCTGATGACATGCCAGCCCCCTGTCGGACACGCGCCTCCTCGGGCACCAGCAGTACATAAAGTGAGCTGCGCGCGCACGGGGCTGATCAGTGAATCAGTAAGCGGCGGAGGAGAGAGCCGCTCCGGTCCGTTAAGCGCTCCACACCGCGGAGTTACCATGAGCTGCGGAGACTGTGCGCGCCTGGAAGCTTCTCTTCTCCGGGAGCGCACGAGGTGATGCGCCCTACGAGACTCTGTTCGGGTCTATTACCGGAGAGGATGGCGGAGCTATGGAACCACAACAGTACGTCCTCTTTGAACCGGTCCAGCGCCGAGCAGGACCGGTTCAGCAGCTTGGATGACATCGACTTCCCGGCGGACGGCTCCCCAACGCTGCGCATCCTCATCTCCATTGTGTACTCGGTGGTGTGCGCCGCCGGGCTGGTCGGGAACCTGCTGGTCTTCTTTCTGATGAAGGGGCGCAGGGGCAGAAAGAAGCGCTCCAGCATCAACCTATTCATCCTGAACCTGGCCGTCACGGACTTCCAGTTCGTGCTGACGTTGCCGTTCTGGGCTGTGGACACGGCTCTGGACTTTAGCTGGCCGTTTGGAAACGCCATGTGTAAGATCATCCTGTCGGTTACGGTGATGAACATGTACGCCTCTGTTTTCTTCCTCACCGCTATGAGCGTCACCAGGTACTGGTCGGTGGCCTCTGCGCTGAAGGACCGGACCCGGAGGCGGGTGTGTCCGGTACGTTGGGTGATCGCGGGGTTGTGGGTGTCCGCCACGGTGGCTACTCTGCCCACAGCCATCTTCTCCACGGTGAAGAGCGTGGCCGGGGAGAGGCTGTGCCTGCTCGGCTTCCCGGACGGACAGTCGTGGCTCGCGCTGTACCATCTCCAGAAGATCCTGGTGGCTTTCGTGTTCCCCATGCTGATCGTTACTGTGTGCTACCTGCTGCTTCTGCGTTTCGTGCGCCTGCGCAGCATGAACAACAACCAGGTGAAGCGGAGGTCCAGAGTCACGCGCTCCGTCACCATCGTGGTCCTCTCCTTCTTCATCTGCTGGATGCCAAACCACGCCATCACCTTCTGGGGCGTGCTGGTCAAGTTTAATGTGGTCAACTGGGATAAAGCGTACTACATGGTGCACACGTACGTGCACCCGGTGACAGTGTGCCTCGCGCACACCAACAGCTGCCTGAACCCGGTGCTGTACTGCCTCATGCGCCGGGAGTTCCGCAAGAAGATGAAGGATCTGTTCTGGAGGATTTCCTCCCCCTCAGGGACGAACAGCTGCCCCCTGCGGCCCTTCTCCGGGACGGTTAGAGCGGAGCCGGACGACACGCAGATCGTCATCCCGCTGAACAACGTGGAGACGGAAAACTACCGGCTGTCTGTGTTAACGGACCACGGCGACACGGAAACACTGCAGGGATAGAAAACTGTTACACCATGATGAAAGATGATTGACTGATATTTAGACTCATTACAGACTTCTGAACTGTGAGTCTCTTATTTGTTCTTTGTGCAACACAGAACATATGGGATATCAGATATTTATTGACTTGGCAACAGATGGATTTTATATTCGTTATCACAGAGTGAAATTTAAAAAAGCAAGAACGGGACAAGCGCGCGTAAATTACGCACCAGGAGGTTCGTGTGTAAAACCACTCCACTGCGTTTCTGTTCCTCCTGACTGCGCTGTGTCACAAGAAAAACTCTCCTCACTCTCATGCTGATGCTGTATTTTGGTCCTGGACAGCTGAATATATGGAGGTGCAGGATTTATGTAGCTCTCTCTGTGCAGAAGCATCTGGTCACTGTGCTGCAGGGAGGACTCAGCCTGCTGCTGCTGCTGCTGCTTCAATCATCAGTCTGTGGAGTTTTTTCAAGTTTCTCGTGGCTGATGTGTAAAATGTTCAAGCTTAAGTAAGTGAATGTAAAAAAAAAAAAAACTGCCATTTTGACCTTAACAATGTTTGGAGAATAAAATATGTTCTTTGTGGTGACAGTGATTGAAGTGTTGGTGCTTTTTAAGGTCTCTGTTTAGATCTGTGGGAACAGGAGAGCAGATTTGCGAGCAGAAAATGAGGTGAAGTGTTTACATGCCAGCAGCCTCAGGGCAGCACAGTCTGTATCGGACTCCCTGTGCTGTGAAGATAATCCTAACAGGGATGATTTTTATTTGACAAGATGGGGATAAATGTTTATTTTGGAGACGTTCTGGACATGTTTCTGAAGGTGGCCAAACACTCAAAGGATCAGTGCCCTGGACTGTTTATGCAGCCCGAACATGAAAGCAAGTAAAAGGAAGATTAGAGAAATGTTTAAAGAGATGCAAGTTCAAACTGTCAGTATGAGTGGCAGCAGGTATGAGAAAAGAACACCAGAGGAGAACATGTCGGAAAAAAGAAGTTTAGAGTCGATATGTCAGCGATAAAGAAAAACTGTCAAGCATAAATGAATCAATGAGGGGAATAAAGTTGAAATAAAAATAACTAAGAAGGAAGCTGAACATTGATGATGAACTTAAAGTTACTTTGAGAAAAAAAGTCAAATATGGAGGAAAAATGTCCGAACTAGAGATAGATAGATAGATAGATAGATACTTTCTATTGGTTACAAAGACATACATGACATGAAACATATGTTACAAATTAAACCAAAAAACCGACACCCCCCTCCCATACATATATATTAACCCGAAAAAAAGATTTAAAGAATACCCCTAGATGAATCAAACTTAAACCGTGCAATTAAAAATAGACATATACAAGAAATGTACATAACCTGTGCAGGGATAAAAATGTATGTGAGATGCACCGATTGGGAAAATATGGGTACCAATGTTTGTTTCATGACTTCTTTTGGTGTCAGACTCCTACAATTAAAAGATTTTCTCTCGTGTGACGATGAAAAAAAGTCAGTTTCTCCAACAGGTGACTTTATCTGCCCAATTAAAAACCTCTTCTCTGAATCAGTAGTTATCAAACAGCAACCTCCTGAAGCCGATGCTGAAGTGTTAAATCTTGCAGTTCCTCGAGTGTCCACTAGAGGCTGGTGCAAAAGCACAAGATGTCACATACACACCCATTCAAAAAAGCCTGTTTTTATAGCAGAGATTAACATGTTTACAGCCTGGTTCAAAAAAACAAATAGGTCTGATTAGCTCATGTCATCACTGGCACACACTGGCTCCGTTTTGTTTTCATAAACGATGTGTGTTATCTGCAGTTAGGCGTGTAGCTGATATGATTGGATTGCCTAGTGTGAGAGCGCCCAAAGACCTTGGGACAGTTACAGTCGAAGCAACTGATCGCTGAATCTTAGTGTCTGTAATAAATGATGTAGTTTCAAAAGATCGGAGCAAGATGGAGCAAGCACATTTAGCGATTTTTATTAAGTAATGAAATCTTTAAAATCCCTCCTGAAACACAGGGAGCCGGTGAAGGGAAGCTGAAATGGGTCACCGTTCACGTTTCTGTTAAAAGGCGAGCTGCAGGCGAGACAAAGAGGCCAGCGTAAAGAGCATTACAACAATCAAGAACCTTCTAGAAATCATTACAAATTCAATAGGATTTCACCCTGAATAAAAACGCAGATGTAAAAGCTCGCTTTAACATCTGAGTTCATCTGTTCGTCCAGATTCTTTACGGAGGGTTCCAGAATCCGGGGGGGCGGGGTCTATGTAGAGGTCGTTGCAGCCACCATAGGGTCCAAGAAGAACAACAGAGCATCTCTCAGTATTATGAAAACAAACTGGAAACATTTCCCTTCAGATGAGGAAATACAATAAAAAATCCACACAGCAATAAAAAGTACAATAAAGTTAAAGTGTGTGCAGCTCTGGATTGCTTAAATCCAGCACTTAACCTTTGTTAGGAGAGATTTAACAAAGAGAATGAAGATTGTAAAACAAGTCTATGATGCGGTTAAGTCATCCTAGTTGCTCTGTTACTGTCTTGTTTACAGTGAAGTCCAGTTTACTGGAGCACATGTTGGCAGTGACAGGAGCGTGCATCATGTTTACTAAATGCAAAGCTCCACGGGGCTTAACGTAGTAAAAAGGAAATAAGGACAGAACAGAGAGCACGTTACATAAAGTCAGCCCAACCTATAAACTCAGAGGTGAACTTTGCTCCTCCTTTAACGAGGCTGCGTGGATCTTTCCTCATATAAAGCTGCAAACAGCCCAGACACAGGGAAAGTACAGGTCTGTGAACACACAGCTGCACATTATCATGCCCAAAACACACACAGACACACACACACGAACACACACACACACTGTGCCGTGAGTTTAATGAGGTCAGTGGAGCCTATCGGCAGACTGCAGGGCTTTCAGTGTAATATTTTCAGATTTGACACACTGACTCTGAGCACAGTTACAGCCCATTTACTTCTGTCGTGTTCACACTTATTCCACCCACTCACCTCACAGCCTAAAAACAGCACAAAAGGTCAGAGTGCTGCTGTATCACCCTCTCAGTATAGAAGGTACTTTAAAGACACATCCAGAAACTGAAGACATTTCAAGGTTCAGATCTGATCAACACTGCAGCTCAAACTCTTTCTAAGATCGTGACTGGTGTGATCCAAAAAGAAAGATGGCTGTCCTCCAAACATTGTTTCAGGACAGATTTGGAAATGAGACAATATCATGAATAAAATTGTTTTTATGACTCTATTGATTTTCCAGTTAGAAGTTAGCATATAGCATGTTAGCATGTTAGTTTAGCCAAAGCGGTGTTTTGTTATAATCATTGAGTTATGAGCAGTCCACAGCAGACTGGTATGGTCTACAGGACTTGCAACTAAATAGCAAAAATTGCAATTCAATTAAAATCCCTGCACACATTGTGAGAGGCAAAATGCTGATTCTGTTTTTAGCGCATTCTTATTGTTTTTCAGTGTAGAATTAGACAAAATGATCTGAACAGGATTCTTGTTGAAGTCTTGTTAGTAGAGACCCTGAAACATACCCAGTCTTTGACAAATTTTATAATCTGTGAATAATATTTAAAGGAGGTCCCTCTTTAGTATATTAAGAGTGTTTAAACTTCAGAACGGGCGACAGGCTGAATTCTGTGCTACTATCTGATGACTGAGACCAGAATGAAATACAGTCCTGGGATTATCATCATCTGTAACAATCCCATACTGTACTTAGTTAGAGACATTTTAATCAAAAGTTTTGTAGCGTAAGTGTACTGTATATAACTCTCTTATTTGTTCTGGTTCGCGGCCCCCTGTGGACTTCAGCGTCTAGTCTGCTGAATCTGATTCAGCTGGATCCTGAACATATGTGACTCACTTTGAGTAAACACACGAGAACAGCTGGATGCAGAGAAAAACTAAAACAGTTCCCCACCCTCCTCAAGTGTCCCTGAGCGGGGGGTCCAGATTAGACTGGAGGACTCGCTGAGAAAACAGAAACAATCCCAGACAGGGAAAGTGAACTATCTTGTTAAGAAACAGATTTATTAAACACCAGTTATCATGTGATATTCAGGTGTTTTTAAACCTGTGTCCTTTTTGAGGCTTAAGCTCTGCGCCAGTCGATATCCAGCTTCTGATTGGTTAGTTCCATGACAGTCGCCCCCTGATGTGTGTTCTCTGTCATTACCGCAGGCTGTGACCTCAGAGTGAAAGTACAACATGTACTTTGTAGAGCCGTAACTTTGACTTCGAACAAGCAGAGGACAGACTGAATGTGTCGCTGTGAGGCGGGGATGTCAAACGAGTCAGTGGGAGCCCGGCCCACACTGAAGGATTTTTAACATCTGAACAGATTCTGAAAATGAGAGAGACCCCACACATAACAACAAATAATCATAGCCCACCACACAGTAACAGATTTCATCACTGACAACCCAAGTCCTAACCACTTAAAACTGGAAAATCTGGCAAAATGTCTCACGTTCCAATGCAACCATACCCCCAATTTTCACATACTTTGTGCACGCCACGGTCCGTCAGCGCTACGCACTACCACTCTAGTCAAAGCTCCATCTCTGGAGCGTGCCAGCAGTGCCACTACGCTCCGCTTCAATCTCTATTTTTGAGCTCATATTTGATCATATTTTTCATCACTTTATCGACATGACGTCAAAACAGGCACCAACTGATTATCAAAATCTTCCTCAGAAACAGATCCAGTGGGGCAGGGTTCGAGCCATCTGATGGACTACAGTATGTGGATATTGACAGTAACATAGACTCTCTTCTCCCAGCACCGGAGAGCAGCAAAAATCTGCTGAACAGGAAGTTAACGTAACCCTCTTTGAAGCCGGCAGAAGCAGCTTCATTTGAACTCAGATGTTCCTGTTTGTGTTTGACTCATTTGAGGATATTTTACATAATTTTACAAATTGGTGTCCCCTGGTGCATTCAGTGAGTCAGGTTGATTCATTCTGACGCTGGAGTCTAACGCAGCAAATAGTCCAACTCGGTGTCACGCCTGGATGGCGTCCGCCGGGTGAAGTGCCAGATGATTATTTGGCATCAATGAAGGCAACGTGCTCTGGGGAGTCATTGAAAATACTAAAAACCTGAGCAGAGGACGCACTTCACAGAAACATCAGACGCTGCTGCTGGAGAGGGCTCGAGGAGAACAAAGACACTCGAGTACGAAGCAGAGTTCACGTTCTCCTACCCGCCTCAGAAAGAGGTTCAAACCGGGAATCCAGGAGACTCAGTGATGCTCAGTCAAGTCCATGCTCGTCTTCTGCGATTACACAAGAGATGTCAGGATGAATCTAAGGATGAGGGCTCCGCTGTTTTGTAGTCAAACCAGGCTTTTCCACCCGTGACCATGACGCTTACAAACAGGAAATGACAGCACGCTTTATGCTTAATGCTTAATGCTCCAGACAGCGTTATCTGGGCAAACATGTCGTCATGCAGAAAGAAGAGAGAGTCAGGTTTCTGAAGCAGAGCAGGGATGTTGAAAAATCGACCTGAGGGTGATTAAATCTCTTGGTGAAACATCTCCTGAAATGAGTCTGACGGATTCATTCCAAGAGAACGCCTGAGGGACTCTGTGCTGAACATCGAGCCTTTGTTGGTCATTGTTGCTCATTTATGCTCAGCGTTGCATTCTGCCAAAAACTATTCATCTTTTATTTCACACAGGAGAAAACTGCCGGGTTTTTATGAAGCCAAAAAATCATTCAAATGAGTTGAAATGATCAAATAGTCGTCCAGCTTCTGGGGTTGTTTCTTCAAACGCCTCGTTACAAACCTCAGGAGAGGTTTTTTTTGGATCATGTTGGCCGTCATCAGGACGTCCTCATAGAAAAAACCATCTGAGAGAAAATGGGAACATTTGGGAACAGTCAAAACAAGTTGGTTAGGTTTAAAAACAGGATCTTGATTGTGTTGTATAAGAACACGACTTTCTCTACTTATATAACATTGTATTCATATGTATATATGAGTATATGTGCTGCAGTTTGAGAGTCAGAAAGTCAAAGTAACCTTTGATTGCACAGTAAATGTCTTAAGGTGGATGTCTGATGTCACACCGTGTTCATAGGGAAACATCAGAGAAGCCTCGATGTTGAGACGGGACATCCTGACTGACTTTACATCTCTGCTGTATGGACATAATCAATTGAATAAAACCGACATATATTGACTAATTACTGCCAATTTCCACATACTCAATGTGCGCTGTGTTGCATCAGTGCCGTTCACTCCTACTCTTGTCAATAACTATGTTTCCACAGCACACACAGGTCCGTCTGTGGAGTGTGCCAGCAGCGCCACTCCGCTCTGTTACTCTTCCAATAAGCACCGAGTCAATTTTCAATGGAGCTCGCTGCAAGCACATTTCAAGCTGAGAAAAGCAGATCATTCCAGACAAGAAGTCAGACAAGGAAACAGAGCATCCAGTGAATTTCAAAATAAAACTCAACATACAGACTCCTTCTCTTGTGATCTTGTAGTTCTCTTGTGATCTTGTAGTTCTCCTGGGATCTTGTATCTCTTGACGCATCGTTGCGCTGAGAGAAGACTGCAACAGCATCACGAGACGAGAGCAGCGAGTAGCACCTGAGCAGAGCAGAGAGCAGCACCTGAGCAGAGCAGCGAGCAGCACCTGAGCAGAGCAGCGAGCAGCACCTGAGCAGAGCAGAGAGCAGCACCTGAGCAGCGAACTACGGAGTGAGCGTATTGCATCATTTTCTGTTCTGTTCTCCTCTGTACTGTGTTACTGTGTACCTACTCTTAGCTTAGCTTAGCAGCAGCCGGGAGGCAGTGGCTGGGTTACTGTCCGAGGGAAGCATAGTCGAAAATCGAAGCACACGGTTCCCCACCAACCACTTCACGTTTCAAACTAATTTTCCCCACTCAGCGACACACCCACTGAGAATAAAACTCTGATTATTGGAGACTCCATAGTCCGAAACGTGAAGCTAGCGAAGTCAGCGGGCATAGTTAGGTGTATCCCCGGGGCCAGAGCGGGCAACATCGCATCTCATTTAAAGTTGCTGACAAAGACTAAAGGTAGATTTGATACAATTGTAATTCATGTCAGCACTAATGACTCCCGACTACGCCAGTCGGAAGTCACTAAGGTTAATGTGGAGTCGGTGTGTACTTTTGCTAAGATGATGTCGGACTCCGTAGTGTTCTCTGGACCCCTCCCAAATCAGACCAGTGATGACATGTATAGCCGCATGTCATCACTCAACCGCTGGCTGTCGAGGTGGTGTCCAGCACACGATGTGGGCTTCATAGATAACTGGCAGTCTTTTTGGGAAAAACCTGGTCTGCTAGCTAGAGACGGCACCCATCCCACTTTGGACGGTGCAGCTCTATTATCTAGAAACATAGCAGAGGTTATTAGTCCAAAACCTTGACAACAAAACAGAGTTCAGACCAGGAGGCAGAGCTGCAGTCTTACACGCTTCTCTGCGCCTCCCTTAGATCTGTCTCCCAGTCACTATAGCTGTAATTCTGAATCGAACTGTAGTTATACTATAGGTACTGTGTCTGTCCCCCGGCCCAGACCCGTTTTTATAAGTCATCCAAATGGCGTAAATCGTCAAAATCTCATTAGAATCAAAACTACGAATACGATTTTGCTATAAAATCAGAAGATTCACTGCGGACTTTTGAACATTAGGTCCTTAGCATCCAAATCTCTTTTAGTGGATGATCTGATATCAGATCAGCATATTGATTTACTTTTTTTGACTGAAACCTGGCTGTGTCGAGATGAATATGTTAGTTTGAATGAATCCACTCCTCCCAGTCATTTTTGTACTCATATACCTCGAGACACCGGACGAGGTGGTGGAGTAGCAGCTATTTTTAATTCTGGTCTTCTAGTTAACCCTCAACCAAAGATGAATTTTTCTTCTTTTGAAAGCCTTGTTCTTAGTCTTTCACATCCAGTCTCAAGAACCTTTCAGCCAGTTCTAGTTGTTGTAGTTTACCGCCCTCCTCCATATTCTGAGTTTCTATCTGAATTTGCAGAATTTTTATCAGATTTAGTCCTTAGCAGTGATAGAATAATTGTTGTAGGTGACTTCAATATCCATGTGGATGTTTATAATGATAGCCTTAGCACAGCTTTCATGTCACTATTAGACTCTATTGGTTTCACCCAGGTTGTAAATGAACCTACTCATCGTTTCAGTCACACCCTGGATCTTGTTTTAGCTAATGGCATTGAAATCCATAACCTTACAGTTTTCCTAGAAAATCCTCTTCTATCAGACCATTTCCTTATTACATTCAACTTTGTCCTGCCAGAATTATCTCTGCTTGGAAGAGGTGTGCTCTCTAGAAGTTTGTCTGATAGTGCTGTGGCTAGATTTAAGGAAGCTATTTCAGCTGCTTTTGATTCAGTACCATGTTTCAACCCAGTTGGAAACTCTTATGATAGCTTTAGTCCCTCTCAGTTAGATCAGTTTGTTGATAGTGCAGTGGATTCGCTGAGAGTTACTCTTGATTCGATTGCTCCCCTGGAACGGAGGGTTGTCAAGCGGCGGAGAGTGGCTCCATGGTTCAACTCAGAAACCCGTACTCTAAAACAATCATCGCGGAATTTTGAAAGAATATGGCGCTCGACCAAAACGGTAGAATCTCGTTTATTCTGGCAGGATAGTCACACTCGAGCTGCCTACTACTCCTCTCTTATCGAGGAAAACAAAGGCAATCCTAGATACCTTTTCAGCACTGTAGCCAGGCTGACAGAGAGTCATGGCTCCATTGAGCCTTGTATTCCTTTCGCCCTCAGCAGTAATGACTTCCTGAGTTTTTTCAACAACAAAATTCTAAACATCCGTGACAAAATTGGTAACCTCCTGCCCTTACCTGGTGCGGATACGTCTGATACAGCAGAGACAGCTCCAGGACCAGATATTAGTCTCGACTGTTTTTCTCCAATCGACCTTTCAGAGCTATATTCCATTTTTTCTGCGTCGAAACCGTCAACCTGTCTTTTGGACCCAATCCCAACCAAGCTGTTTAAGGAAGTTTTTCCCTTAGTTAGCAACTTTATATTAGATATGATCAATTCGTCTTTACTGGCAGGCTATGTACCACAGGCATTTAAAGTAGCGGTAATCAAACATCTACTTAAAAAGCTTACTCTAGATTCAGGAACTCTAGCTAACTATAGGCCTATATCCAACCTTCCTTTTATCTCGAAGATCCTGGAGAAGGTGGTAGCTAATCAGCTGTGTGACTTTCTCCATGACAACAGTTTATTTGAAGAGTTTCAGTCAGGATTTAGAGTCCACCATAGCACTGAGACTGCACTAGTTAAAGTTACAAACGATCTACTTCTAGCTTCAGACAGGGGACTTCTCTCTGTGCTTGTCTTGTTAGATCTTAGTGCTGCTTTTGACACCATTGACCATCGGATCCTGTTGTACAGACTGGAGCATTTGCTTGGAATTACAGGGACTGCTTTAAGTTGGTTTGAATCCTACTTATCAGACTGATCTCAGTTTGTACATGTTAATGATGAGTCCTCTATGCACACTAAAGTTTGCCATGGAGTCCCACAAGGTTCAGTGCTTGGACCAATTCTCTTTACATTATATATGCTTCCTCTGGGAAATATCATGAGGAAACACTCCATACAGTTTCATTGTTATGCAGATGATACTCAGCTTTATGTATCAATGAAGCCCGATGGCACCAGTCAGTTATGTCAGCTAGAAACGTGCCTTAAGGACGTTAGGACCTGGATGACCAGAAATTTTTTGCTACTTAACTCAGACAAGACTGAAGTTATTGTGCTAGGCCCTAAGAACCTCGGAGAGACTTTTCCTAGTGATTTGACTGTCCTTAGTGACATCAGCCTGGCATCTAGCACCACTGTTAGGAATCTAGGAGTTCTATTTGATCAAGATATGTCTTTTAGCTCTCACATCAGGCAGATCAAACAGATCAACAGATCAAAAACTGGGGCACTGACGTAACGCAGCGTGCTTGAACTATGTAGAAATAAGCAGTCACAGTTGAAATCATTAAAAAGTTTACTTTTAATGAGTTTGGAGATGTTTGTGGCGTAGTCAGCGTTTTGTCACCGCTTTAGCAAACCGCTCACAGTGAACCTGCCCGTCAGCTCCAACTCCCGCTTCCTTCAGCAGCTCGTCCACTGAAAACAGAGAATCACAGCTGTCAATCAAGGCGGGCTTAATGTTAATACGTTTGAGAGTCTTAGTAGGAAAGTACTTTATGGTATGAGGCTACATCGTATGGTAATATGTAATATGTGTTCAATCAGCGTTTTCTGACATCAACATTCGTTTGGCTCTTTTTGTTTGCTGCTAAAAGTTTTGACTGATTTTCAATAAACAGAAACTTTCCCACTGAGCAGAGATCTAATCAGCAGTCACAACAGGCTGTTTTTCTCAGTTTCCAGCTCAGATATGTGTCTGCATTAGTTTCCTCTAGAGACACTTTGTTCTGGAAATAATTAAAAACAAGATGATGTGAAGTGGAAACGGCTGAAATGTTTTCCTCCTCGCTGGCAGATTTCTCGTTTTTCTCAAAGACAAAATGACTTTGTTTTTCTAACTGTCTGCTTCTTCAGGGATTAAAAGTAAAAAATGTTACGCTTCCTATCTCGTCTTTCCTAACTGCACGGTTGAAAATCACTTTGAAGGCCTTTCAACACGTGTGTCTGTGCATGAAGGGATTAAAATTAAGGCAGAGAGGGAAATGCCCCAAAACAGAGAACAAATCAAATGTTTTTTAGTGGCAAAGTTAGCGGCAGGAGGACGTAAAATAACAGTTTTTCTAATGTGTGAGCCTCCACAGCTCCCACCCTCTCTGTCCGTCAGCTTCTCTCCCAGCCCGGTCAGTTTGGCTCTCAGCTCGGACGCCATGATGAATCCTTTCTGCTCCTTATCCGCCATCCTCAGCGCCTCCCGGATCTCCTCCTCCGGCGCCTCCTGCTGGAGCTGCCGGTGCATGACGCTCAGGAAGGTGGAGAAGTCGAGCTCGCTGCCCCCGTCTGCAGGAGAAGAAAAAAAGAATCCACTTTTACTGGACAGACTCGTCTTTGACATCACCAGATAAACCAGGGGTGGGCAACTGGCGGTCCCCATCAACCCTCAAAGTGGCCCTCAGGTCATTTTTTACATATCAATTAATTGGAAAACGTGACAAAATCTGCCATGAAATCATGAAAACCAGAAATATGTCCTTAATAATATTTGATCACTGGTATATTTTGAGACATAATCGACTTTAATCGTTTTTGTATCCTACAGTTTGGCCCTCTGGCAGTGAGAATTAAACGAATGTGGCCCTTACTGTGACCAAAGTTGCCCATCCCTGAGATAAACCGTTATCGATCTATCAGGAGAAATGAGGATGCAGAATCAGAACGGGGGACCAAAGTCATCTCGCTCTGTAAATATGAAATAAGTTTGATAAGATAAGTGAAGAGCAGAGCTGGATGATAATCTTCTGACAGTTCAAACATATAAAATAAACTATGAGTGGAAACTTTGAGCTGCTCAAATCTCCAGAGACTCTTAATTATGTGTTACTTAAGAGATCGACCAATCACAGCCGTCTTTGTGTTTACAGACTACAGTACTGATGAAATGAACATACTGCTTCTGAAAACATGTCAGAACATGAGGAGGCACCTCCTTTCAACAAGGGCTCTCATTGGCTGTTATGAGGTGTCATTTAAAGGTCAGCGACACAGCGGAGGTAAATTAGAATCAATCTGTGGATCGTTTTGGATGTAATGTGTCTGGATTAAATCTTTTACTGGATTTAAATCCTGAGGACTCATTTATGATCAGGAGAGTTCAGTAAATCTTCAAAAGGTTAACAGACGTTGTTTGTTTGTCGGCAGTCTGACAGATGTGTAGATTGTGGCTGCTGTGGTGGTCGGACCTCCACGGCCTGCTGGATTAGATGTAATATGGTTATGAGGTAACCTAATGCAGATTTAAGGCGTTTTCACATCAGGCACGATTGCTCCGGCCCCCTCCCCTCCCCCTCATACACTTGTGTATGTTCACAGTCCGATACAGCAGGAGGCAGTATGCACATAGCTGGTTTGCAAATTCTCCAAGACGCAGAAAGAAGAAGAAGTAACCATGGCAACCACTCGCTGGCTGAGTTCGTCCTGCTAACTGTGGATGTTTTTATTATTTCTGAGTCGCCAACAACGACCCTCTTCCTGCTTCATCATCTACCGAGCAGCTCAGAAGGGGAAACGGGCCGTGCTGGAGCCGTTTAGAATGACATCACATAACGGTCCACTTCCTTGTTTGAGCACGATTGGGTTCACATCTGCCGTGGACCGTCTCGTACCTGAGACAGCTTCTTCAAGCGGACTCAGATCCAGGCCCAGGTCCCAAGTGTGAAACCACCCTTAAAAATAGTTACAAATAGTCTAATGACGTCGTTAAACTCAAAGGAGAACACTGATCAATGAGCGCAGAAAAACAACAACAGAACAATCAGCTGATCAGTCGACGACGGGTAGGACTTATCAAACGAGTCCTGAGTCGGGGATAGGCCTAGTGTTATGAAGTGACAGAGCACACAGAGGGCTGGAAGCACAGAAATATGATGTAATGAGTGAAATGTGGAGGATTGTGTCATCGTTCTGGTTCTGTGTCTCTGGTCAGGTTTTTTCAGATTCTCTGATCCTGTAACAGATGACGACACACGCAGAGAAGAGATGATGGAAAACAGATCACAGCATGTCCTCACTCTCACGCTGTCGTTTTGTCTTTTGTCCGATTATAATCTGTTTAATCTGTCTCTGTGTCTTGCTTTGCAGCTCTGCATCATGTCATGCCGGGCAAGCTGATGACATGAGCTGTAACAACGAGACGGAGACGTTTTCATGCAGCACGGCCTCGCTGTGTGTTCTATCTGTTATTCAAATAATCAATAATACAGCCTTCATTCATCTTTTATTCAGGAAGTCATAGATGTGCTTTAGAAGCATGTTGTAGGAATAAATTAATACAAATTCTCTTTTCAGATTCTTGTCAATTAGAAATCTTTGCTTCTATACTTTGGGGCAAACACACATCTTGAAGAAATCGTATTTCAATTTATCTTTTCCATTTTCTTTTCACTTCTGATAGACTAAATTATTCCTTATGTAAAGACCCTGACACACCAAGGAGATCGCAGACCGTCGATGAGCGGTCGTTGCCTTTGTTTTTGCAGTGTGTTTGGCTCCCTGGCTACCAGTCGGCCTCCTATGCCTTTTTTCAGTCAGTGAGAGGGATCTCTCTGATTGGCTGTTCAGAGGTTTCATTTCTCTCCAGCTCTCGACACAGGTTCAGGAAAGCCCCTTGAGCATGCCGCTGTAGTATCCATGCTCTAACCCATTAGTGCAGTTTCTCCTTATTTGTCTCCTCCGCCTCGTCTTTTCTTTTTCCACTTAAAGACCAAGGGCTGACAATGCCAGCACCATCCTCAACTGTTTATCAGACATTATTCTCCATTAGTAGGATACGTATAATACGAGTGGTGACCGACAGCGGTGTGAAAATGGTAATGATGGCTGAGCTTAGTTGCGGAAATGTGACCTTAAGGGCCGCTGAATCCATCCTTCAAGAATAGAAGACATCATACTCATGTTCTCTTGTTGGGCTGTTTTCTGGATTGCTTCACAAACTTGTTTATAAAATTGAACGTCTTTAGTGCTGAGTCATGTTAAGGCCTGAGTGACATGTTCAATGACTTCAAAACAATGTGTTTGTGACATTTTCTGTGGACAAAATGTGTGTTTTTATGGATTTTCAGATGTATTTTATGGTGGTTATTTGTGCAAGTGTTGGGACTTTTTTTATTGTCTTGTGTGGGCGATCTTACCAGTTCATAATCTTTGATGGCTTTGTAATGACTCTGTGTACCGCCATGAGAAGGAAAAGAAGAAAAAGAGCTGAAACCAAGCAGCTGGAGAGAGGAGTAATATCCTCCCATGATTGACCATGTATGTTTACTGAGGGAATAAATCAACTGAGAAGAAAGAACATTTTATCATAGACTATTTACCACCAGTGGAGTCGCCCCCTGCTGGACATTAGTTAGAATGCAGATGAAAGGCAGATGTAAATAAGGCTCGGTTTTCAGACCTGGAGGATCTCTTACACATGCTGATGTGATACCTTTGGGGCAGTAAACACACACACACACACACAGACAGGTGAGACAGTGTCAGGTGTACCTATGCTGTGGCTCAGCAGGTGTCGTTGGACCTCGGACGGGGTGGGGCTTGACCCGAGACATCGCATCACTGCGATCAGCTCCTGAGCTTCAATTTTTCCTTTACGCTGACGGTCATAGAGAGAGAAACACTCCTTAAACTCTGAAACACACACACACACACACACACACACACACACACACACACACACACACACACAAAAACACACACACACACACACAGTGTTAATAAGGACAATTTAAGGAGTATCCAGAGGTTTGACCAAGCCTCACAGTAGATTGTCTTTCGTATCAGTGATTATTTCACCAGGTCTCAGTTTGATGACCTGTTAGCTAGGATCAGTACCAGGTCCCTTTAGTGTCCACCACTTGGTAACCTGCATGAGCATCGACTCTAGAGAGGAGGGGGCGGGGGGAGACAGCTCTCGACAATGTTGAGAATTTGGACTGCAGTACCCATTTTAAACACTAGGTGTCAGAGTTACATATTGCCATTGCTCCAGAAGTGGACCTCATCTCATCTCTTGCATTGTGTAGAAACTACGTCGTCTCATATCTCATTCAGCAGTAAGTAAACTCACAGTATAAACTCCGTCATCGGTGATGCGTTTTGAGTGTGGGCTAGTGCACACAAGAGGTAGAGAACGAGCAGGGAGACAGGGAGGCGTCTGATTGGTTCATCAGATTGGTACCTTGTGGCAGACATTGGTGGAAGTTTTTACAGACTTACAACTGCTACAGATGACAGATTTTCTTTGTTCCTTTTTCAGAGAACGTGAGTTATTAATTTCGGTCAGGACTTAAAGACAATTTCAGCCGAAATCTTAAAAAGTGAAACTGGAGAAAACTAACAACCCTGACTTTAATGAAACAGAAAACTAATCCCACCAATAATAACTCCTGTTTCATCTTCAAAAAGAACAATAGTCCAACTTTTCTAACTGGGCTAAAACCTTTTGTGTTTAATCACATTAGCAGGTTGAGGAATTGGGCCAGCAGGAACAAGAGCTGCTTTGTACCGAGGCAGGCACATAGAAAAACACATCCCTCCGTTATTGAATACCAACAGAAATAAGGCTGCAGCCGGGTCAAACTGTGACAGAGAAATGATCACAATGTGCTGCTAAAAGACGACTACAGCACTGACGGGCATGAAGGAGAAAGTGTCTGTTCTTATTCCACTAACAGGAAACTCTTTTTCTCTGAAGTGTGAGTCTTACCGTTAATCTGATCCTGAGTCAGAAACTTTGCCTGTGATGAAAAGAGCAGAAAACAGAGTTGAGTGAAAGAAGAAAGAATGAAGCTGATGAAATGAAGCGTCAGTTATTCTCTCACCATGGTGTCAGCGGGCAGCCGGTTCTGAACTCTGCTCAGGAATCTGATCCCCGCTGCTGTAAGATGAGGAACGTAATGGAGGCAGAGGATGGAGGCTAGAGGCTGGGAAACTGGGAGGGGGGAAACAGAGGGGCAGGGCAGGTGCAGGAAACCTCCCCCCTCCTGGTGTGAGAGAGCTGGTTTGTATTCATGAAACAAAAGTGAAATCTGCAGATCATTCACATCAAAGTGTCTCCAGGACTTTGAAAGCACAGTGACTGTTTGAAACAATAACGACTTCAGAGTCTCCAGAGGGAGCTGTGTGAAAATGAGTAATTCCAAAGGAGCACTGCATGAGTCAGAGCTCGATGCTCCTCCACAGGTGAGTCTGTGAGACCGTAGTTAACTCACCCGTTTCACAAATATTTATTCTAGAAGGATTTGTCTGCCCACTTCAAACCTCTCACACCTCAACTACAAAGCCCCGACCCACACTGAGGCCGGGACCCCTCTCACTTGCTCAATCCACTTTTTTCTGCACTCTTTTCTTCGGTAAACGGAATGAGCTGGTACAGCGCTGTTCTAGTCTTCTGACTGCTCAAAGACCTTTGGCATCTCAGGTCACACCTACACATTCACACACTGATGGCAGAGGCTGCTGAGTAAAGAGTCCATCAGTATTAACTCATCCATTCATACACATTCACACCCTGATGGTAGAGGCTGCTGAGTAAAGCGTCCATCAGTATTAACTCATCCATTCATACACATTCACACACCGATGGTAGAGGCTGCTGAGTAAAGAGTCCATCAGTATTAACTCATCCATTCATACACATTCACCAGGCGATATGAAGCCCCGGAGAACTTGGTTAAGTGTCTTGCAGGGCACATCAGACATGTGGCTGCAGGAGCTGTGGATCGAACCCCAGACCTTCTTGTTGAGAGACAACCGACTCTACCTGAGTCACAGCCGTGCAAGATACAAGAATCTGAACTGGAAGAGGGCACGTTTTCGTCCCCTCAGCCATTGAAGATCTTAACGAGTGTCTGTGCTAACTGTTGCATTGATTACTGTTATTCTAAACCATGTACCAGCTTCTAAACTTCAGAGTCATCTTGATAAGAGTCAAGATTTTTCATCCACTGAGCATCAGATTCACGTAAACCTTTATCAAACCACTGCAGATGATCAGAAACGCAGCAGCTCGACTGGTCTTCAAACTTCCCAAAAGAGCACACATCCTCCTGACCTAAACTCTCTCATCCAGGTCTACTCTCCCTCCTGTCCACTACGCTCTGCCAATGAAAGGCGCTGTCTGATCAAACCTTCACAACAGGGTCCTAAGTCTCTAACTAGACTCTTCTCCTCTGTCGCACCCTGGTGGTGGAATGAACTACCAAACTCCATTCAATCTGCAGAGTCCCTTTGCACCTTTAAGAAAAAGCTAAAGACCCAGCTCTTTATGAACACTTACAACCTTCATGATGATGATGATATTTAGGATGGTTTTGATGCTGATTAGATCTCTCAAGAACAGCTGTCGATGTTGTGCTCTTCCTCTGGTCACTTCCTGTCAGCACCTGTGTGTCTGATCAGACTTAAAGCTGATTGTTTGCACTTCCTGACGTTGTTCTCTCTAGATCCTTGCTTGTATTGTTCTTACTCTCTGATGTACGCAAAGAATGAAGGATTTTTTCTTTAAATTTTATTTTATTTACCATTTTGTACCTTTTGCACAATTTAGAATTTATTACTGTAAATATTATTTATCTTATTTTTATCTAATTTTATTTTATCTATTTTACCTTATCTTATTTTACCTTATTTTGGCTGTATTGCACCGTGGAACGGAGACAAACGCAATTTTGATTCCACTGTATGTCTGGCATATTTTGAAATTGACAATAAAGTTGACTTTGACTTTGACTTTGAGATGTTTGGTCTTTTTATTCTGTAGAAATTTTGAGTTTTTCCTCTCCAAATGTTATGATGTTACGATTACCCACCCGCTGCTGAAAAATACCCGAATCACTAAGACAACAGCTTCACCGCGACGTAAGGGACGGCTGTGCGTACATTTTCACAGAGACATGGCTGAACGAACACATCCCAGACTCCACCGATCAGCTTGAACAATTCACATGCTACCGTTCGGACAGAATCCTTATTAAAGGAGGAAAGAAGAAAGGTGGTGGAGTCTGTGTTTACATCAGTGATGCTTGGTGTCGAGATGTTGCTGTGGTATGTAAACACTGTTCACCGCTGGCGGAGTTTATGATCGTAAAGTGCTGTCCTTTCTATCAACCAAGAGAGATAACAGAGAGAGAGAGAGAGAGAGAGAGAGAGAGAGATAATAAACACAGCGACCAGCAAGTCGCTGTGTTTATTATCTCTGTTTATTCCCCCCACCACCAACAACGCTGATAGAATCGACGCACTTTGGGAACTTTACAACGCCATCAGTGAGCAACAGACAGCCCACCCAGACGGATTTTTCATCATCGCTGGGGATTTTAACCATGCAAATCTCAAGACGGTTTTACCCCACTTCCACCAACACGTGACCTTTCCCACAAGAGAAGGTAACATTCTGGACATGATTTACACATCAGTTAAAGGTGCTTACAAAGCTTCACCCCTTCCCCACATCAGCCACTCTGACCATATCAGTGTAATGCTAATGCCAGCTTACAGACCCAGGGTTAAAGTCACCAAACCAGTTCTGAAGCAGGTATGTGTGTGGCCAGAGGGGACCAGAGGGCCAGAGGGGGCCTCTGCTGCACTACAAGACTGCTTTGACACCACAGACTGGGAGATGTTTAAGCAGGCAGCCACCTACAACAACCACACAGACATTGAGGAGTATTCTGACACTGTTACCTCCTACATTAGCAAATGCATTGCTGATGTCACCACCACCAGAACCATCACCACCCGGGCTAACCAGAAGCCATGGCTGACAGGAGAGGTACGCGGGCTACTGAGGGCCAGGAACACCGCCTTCAGAGCTAGGGACGCAGCCTGCCTGAGAACAGCGAGGGCCAACCTGTCCCTAGCTACACACTAAAAATAACCAGACACTTCAAGGACAGCAGAGACGCGCGGAGCCTGTGGTGGTATCCAGACCATCACGGACTACAAACCCAAGCCACAGACCTGTGACAGCAACACCTCTCTGCTGAACGACCTCAACAGCTTCTTTGCCAGGTTTGAATCACACAACAGCACGCCCTCACAGAAGACCAACCCCCCTCCCCACGACCAGACCCTGTGCCCGACTGCAGCCAGCGTGAAGAGAACCTTCTCCAAGATCAACACCCGCAAGACTGCAGGTCCAGACAACATTCCTGGCCGTGTGCTGAAGGACTGTGCAGAGGAGCTCAAAGATGTCTTCACAGACATTTTCAACGCTTCTCTGAGTCAGGCTGTTGTTCCGTCGTGCTTCAAAGCCACCACCATCATGCCCGTTCCCAAGAAGCCCTCACCATCCACTTTCAATGACTATCGACCCGTTGCACTGACCCCCATCGCCATGAAGTGCTTTGAAAGGTTAGTCATGGCCCACATCAAATCCACCCTCCCCGCCACCCTGGACCCCTACCAGTTTGCATCCCGAGGTAACAGATCCACCGAGGATGCCATCTGTTCTGCTCTTCACCCAGCCCTCACCCACCTGGACACCAAAAACTCATACGTCAGAATGCTGTTCATAGACTTCAGTTCAGCATTCAACACCATCATCCCTCAGCAGCTGATCGGCAAACTGGACCAGCTGGGGCTCAGCACTTCCCTGTGCAATTGGCTGCTGGACTTCCTCAGCAAGAGACCTCAGACAGTGCGGGTCGGCGGCAACACATCCAAAACCACCGTCATGAGGACTGGAGCCCCCCAAGGTTGTGTGCTCAGCCCCCTGCTCTTCACGCCGCTGACCCACGACTGCGCCTGCACCATCCTTCAGCAGCAACCACATTGTGAAGTTCGCGGACGACACAACAGTGGTTGGTCTCATCTCCAACAACGATGAGACGCACTACAGGATGGAGGTCAGCCAACTGGCCACATGGTGCAGAGACAACAACCTCTTCCCGAACGTCGACAAGACCAAGGAGGTTGTTGTCGACTTCCGGAGATTCCTCACTCCTAAACCCCCACTGACCATCGACGGTGCTGCTGTGGAGAGAGTGAGCAGCACCAAGTTCCTGGGGGTTCACATCAGTGAGGATCTCTCCTGGACAACCAACACCACATCACTGGCCAAGAAGTCCCAGCAGCGCCTCTACTTCCTCCGCAAGCTGAAGAGAGCACGAGCCCCCCCATCCATCATGTGCTCCTTCTACAGAGGCACCATCGAGAGCATCCTGACCAGCTGCATCACTGTGTGGCTTGGGAGCTGCACTGCTGCCAACCGCAAGACCCTGCAGTGCACAGTGAAGGCTGCTGAACGGATTATCGGTGTCCCACTCCCCTCTCTTCTGGACCTCTACGGTACCCGCCTCACCCGCAAAGCAATTGTGCATGACCCCACCCACCCCTCACACAGCCTCTTCAGCCTCCTGCCATCGGGGAGACGGTACCGCAGCCTGCGGGCCGGCTCCACCAGACTGGGAAACAGCTTCATCCCCAAGCTGTCAGGAAGCTTAACTCTCTCCCCGCTTTTCCTTCCTCCCTCTGCCCCACGAACACTGGACATTGAAACCCCCTCCGTTTGCCATCAAGAACTCTGGACTAATAACTCTGAAGCTAACTATTCAAAAGTACACTCAGTTTACTGCACATAGCAACAAGTTTACAGAACTCTGGACTAATAACTCTGAAGCTAACTAATCAAAAGTACACACAGTTTACTGCACATTGCACATATTGCACAAGTTTACTTTTTCTTTACATTTTATTTTATTTATTTATTTACCATTTTGTACCTTTTGCACAATTTAGAATTTATTACTGTAAATATTATTTATCTCATTTTCATTTTTACCTCATTTTATTTTATCTATTTTACCTTATCTTATTTTACCTTGTTTTGGTTGTATTGCACCGTGGGACGGAGACAAACGCAATTTCGATTCCACTGTATGTCTGGCATATTTTGAA